TGACCACGTGTGTTTTCTTACTATTATTGAATTTACCCAAACATTACGTATTAAAAGTGTGCTCCTCTTCCAGGCAGTTTTGCAAGGGATCTTCAGGTGAGACTGAGGGACCATCAACAAAAGTCGATGCAGGTTTTTGGAAGCGTGGAATTCCCTCTCCGAGTCTGAGGGAAAAGTTACCCCAATGTGCTGTCAACGCAGTCAGCTTCTCCGTGGAACTCGCAGAGAAAGAGGGAGGAAGGAGTCTTAACGTTCATGAGAGTCTTGTATTCCCTCTCTCGTTTGACACTTCCCTGACTCCTGACCCAGGTTCGGTGTGGCCAGGCTGAAAGGTAGGAGGCTTTGGTTTTGCCATCTGACCAGCTGGTGGTGGGGTAGGTACTGAAGAATGAGGATGTCAACCCTTTTTGGTCTGGAGTGAGAGAAACAAGTCTGGCCCACGATAGTTCTTGTGACTTATCCGGGGGAGAGAAGCCATAAGGTGAGATCCCCAAGAGACATCTCTTTGATTCATTCATTCGACAGATGCTTGTCACATGCCTGCTGTGTGCCATGCTGTGGCCACACGTTATGCCCCAGGGTGACCTGCAAAGAGCCACAGTCAGATGCTTTTGAGGTGTGAGGTAGGAGAGCTGAAATGATGTTTGTTTGTTTTGAATAAATAGTAAAAGCTGTCTTTCCAGACCCAGGTGTTAACAACAGAAAGGCTGAGTTCAAAATCAGCAGTTGTCCAGCCTTGGCTGAGCTTCTCACACTTTAGTCTAAAATCGCTTGGGGAACTTGGTAGAAGCACACACCTTGGCCCTAACCTCAGAGATTCTGGTTCGGTCAGGGATGGGGTCTTCAAATCTGCTGTTTTAAAAACAAGAACCAGGGGAATTGTGAAGGTGGCAGGGGTGGGTTAGCACGGGTGCCGTGGGGGACGGGGGGGCGTCAGGGTGTGCAGATCAGTCACCTGGGAGACCGGCCTCCAGTCACACACACACCTTTCCCTTTCCTTTCCCACGCTGACCGCCCTGGTGAGCCACTTTGACCTGGAGAGTAGTATTTCTTCTTGCTGGTGTGTGGGCGAAGCAGAAAATTTGAGAACCAACTGTTCTAAATAAAACCATTTAAGGCAGAGTTCGGGCTTTGAGGGCTCCCAGTGCATGTTCTGTTTTCCTTGGAAAGTTTTAGGAGAAAGAATCTACGGGTTTGGTGCAGGCAGGCTGGCCACGCCCCTTGGAGCTGGCCCTGCTGCACCTGCCCAGTTCACACCCTCCCCCGAACACTTCCAGCTGTGTGACCTTGACTCTCAACTCAAACCTGGGCTTAAGCTTTCCCTGCTGCTCTTCGCTCAGGAGTAACTGGTAGCGTGTCTGCCTCCTGGGGGCTTTGGGGGGCTGACGGGGATGATGGATACAGAACAGGGAGGCTCTGAAGCAGGCTGCTCAGACCTGGTCAGTCACCCTGGGATCCTGGGAAAATGCAGATCCCAGTGCAGTAGGCGTGAGGTGGGCCTGAGAGAGTGCACTTCTCACAGACTCCCAGGTGAAGTCAGTGCTGCTGGTCCGTGGACCACACTCTGAGGACCTCAAAGGCTCTCTCTCCTTAGGTGTGCGGGGTGAACCGTTAGTGCCGACGGTCCACCCACTACGTCGACATGCTGGCAACTCTTTTTCTACTCCTAGAAATAGAAGGACCTGACGCTGATGGTGAAAATTTGGGCACAGAATGCTTTCAGCCTCCGACGCCTTTTTCTCTTAAATTATTCATTGTCGCCAGTGACATAAGAAATACTGCAGAAGAGGGTAGAGAGGGATCATCTACTCTGTGGGCCGAGGGAGGGTCTTGAGCAAGGCTTCAGATGCACAAAATACAGGTGGCCCTTGGGGTTTAGGAATTCTGCATCCTTAGTTTTAAAATATAAAGCCTTTTAAATATAAAACAAAGAAAAAGGAGACCGTCTTGTCTTCATCCAGTAACGCCGATTTTAAATTCTGGGTCAGAGTCACCTGGAGAGGCTGTTAGAATGCAGATTGCCAGGCCCCACCCTGGAGATTCTGACTCAGCAGGTCCCGGTAGGGCCTGAGAATTTGCATGTTTAAGTTCCCATGGATTCTGCCACTCACACTTTGCCTGGACGACTCGAGTCTCAAAAGACCATCTCTGAGAGCGACAAACATGAAACAATGCCAGCCTGTGCCACCTCTTCACACTGCCGACCTGCCTGGGATGGGACTTGCTTCAGCTGGGCTGGGGATTGGGGCGTGAACGGGAGATTCACCTGTCCTCAGGTATCTGAGGGTCCTGGGAGGGTGAGGGGAGAGGAGGTCTCTGCTGCCTGCAGGTGGCTCTTCCCAGCACGGCAGGTGAGTCCCTGAGGCTGGGCTCTCAGATCTGGCTGGCTGGCTAATCACCTGGGAGGCTTTTTAAAAACAGAGCCCCCTTCCCTTATCCCCACTCCCACCCTGTGCCCCGAGTGTCTGCTGGGAGAGGCGGCTGGCGGCCAGTTCTGGGCCCCCTGCGTGGAGGACAGTGAGGCACCAGGTGGGCAGCGGGAAGCTTCTTTCCTTTTCAATGATTCTTGAATTCAGCTCTAATGATCACTCAGCAAGCAAATGATTCCCCAGCAGGAAATCGGACCTTCTGTGAAGGGCGTTTCCTCGCTGGTTCCTGAAAGTTTTAGTTGATAAATTCCAGCTGCATTTTCCAAAGTGCTTCACTGCCGGTCCAAGGATGGCTACTGGCCAGGACTAGCTGGCCAAGGGGATTCATCCCAGGTGAAGCCCTGGTGAGGAACAAGGCTGTCCACAGCCACCTGGCACCGGGCAGTATTGACGACCCAATCCCAGAGCAACACTTCGTAGGCAAACTCAAAGTCAGTTTAAAACTGAGGCAATTATTTCAATAATTAGCTCCAAGGAGCAGTTATTTACCCACTTTTGTTTGTCGCATGGGAACTCGAGGACCGAGGTCTTCCCGGGAATCCCCTGGTTCACCGCAGGTGGTTGGGGAGTGTCACAGGGCACTGTGCCCTGGGCCGGGTGGGCTTTATAAAGTGACTCGGCTATGGCCGGCGTGGGCTGTTGAGGAAAGAGACAGAAGCATCTAATCGTGCGAGCAGCGGAACTATCTAAAGCGGACCCCCCAGCACCCCGTCCCCCTCGCCCAGGTTCATTTTCTCCACAATGCTGGTCACCCCAGAAGTGACTGGCCGGGCACTCGCTTATGCCTCGTCTCCCCTCTTGCCACGTAAGCACCGTGCGTGCAGAGGACCAGGCCGTTAGATGCTGGCATCTCTCAGCTTTTGGGGGTGAGCCGTCCAGGAACTTGGGTGTGAGCGCGGCTCTCCACAGCCGAGCATTCCAGAAGGGGGCCGCCTGCCCACGTCCCTGCCCGAAGCTGGGTGGATGCTCGGGGAGGATCGGGGCAGCCGCAGCAGCTCTCAAACCTCAGCAGGCATCACGTCACTGGGCATCACTTCAGAGTTCTGGTCCAGGAGGTCTGCGGTGGGGCTAGGGAGGTTCTAACAAGCTTCGCAGGGGATGCCGATGCGGCTGGGCCCGGGACCACAGTCTGAGAAGCACAGGGCGTCATCGTGGCCCTCACAGCTCACTCAGTGGCTCGATGCGGGTGGGTCGGGTGACAGGCGGGGAGACGTCTGAGACGCTCTGCCGGGTGCAGGTGAGGAGATGGGCTCTGTGACAGGTCACAGCGCTGGGACTGCAGAACAGAAAGAGGGCACTCCAGAGACGTGTGACAGCAGAATCGAGGGGCTGGGCCGAGTGAGAGATGGGGTGTGGGAGGAGAGGGGCGAGTCGGAGCCGCTGGGTATGGGTCGGGTGACAGGCGGAGAGACGTCTGAGACGCTCTGCCGGGTGCAGGTGAGGAGATGGGCTCTGTGACAGGTCACAGCGCTGGGACTGCAGAACAGAAAGAGGGCACTCCAGAGACGTGTGACAGCAGAATCGAGGGGCTGGGCTGAGTGAGAGATGGGGTGTGGGAGGAGAGGGGCGAGTCGGAGCCGCTGGGAGTTCGAAAATGCCAGGAACTGAGATGGGGTCGGGGAAGGAATGGCCCGTTCCTTTGGGACTTGCTGGATTTTCAGTTCTGTGGAGACTTTCGGATGCAAACGTTAGGGCCAATGGTCGAAATAACGGCTGAACACTTGAGAGAAATCTGAGCTGCAGGTCCAGCTTTGGGGGCCTTTGAGACAGTGACGCACCCAGCAGGAAACCCAAAGATGAGGGGCGTGTTCGAGATGCAGAAAGCAGAGGGACAAGAGCACGTCCCCAGGAAGAGGCGGTACCAGATGTTGGAGCATCCCCAAAACTGAGCCCACATCTGCCAGATTCTGGGGACCCTTCGAAAGACCCAACCCCAGGAGGCAGGTTGTATTTGGGGCATGAGGTAGAGGAACTGGTCTACACCCTTAGAAGTCTGTCGATTTTCGACTCCCCATTTTACTTTGCCTTGGGGATAGGACCACCTTGCAGTTCCCACGCCCTGTTGGTGGAACAGGGGTCAGGAGGAAGTACCACACCTTGCACGCACCTGGGCGTGATTGCCATCCAGCCGACGGTGGGGCTTCCTTCTTGAAGAAGACCAAGGTGAACAGTATGGCAGTTCAGGGTGAAGCTGGGGTCGGTTTTTGCACCCCTAAGGAATGTACCATGTTTTTCTCTGCGTTCAATGCTGATCTAGGCCCCCTGGGACTTTGAATCCGCAGAGTAAAAGGGATTCTGACAAGTCATTTTGAACTATCTGTGCTAGAACGCTAGTACGCTACAAAGAATTGCTTACTGTGAGCTCAGAGTTCCCAGGTGGCGTTTGTACGTGTCACAGGTGGACAGGGTGTCTTCTGACTCATGGTGCTTGCGTTTGGTCGCCATGGAGACCACCGGGATGCAGCCCGGCGCATCTTCGAGTCTCTTGCACGCCTTACGCGGCTCCTCCGGCTGCCACCAGTGGGAGCCGCTCCAGGCGGGAGCACCTACCCACCTGTGCTGTCTTTGCAGTTCTGTGCGGAGCTAAACCAGCCAGTCCTGCCCAACATCCGCAAGTGGAAGGGGCCCCGGGGAGCCTGGAAGACCGTCGTCGCCGACTCGCCCTCGACTCCGCTCCAGAAGGTACCCTCGCCGGCCAGGCTTGCCTTTTCTTTCCTCGTTATTGAAGCGTCCATTTCCCCTAACCACGGACATTTGGAAATTTCCCTTTGCCATCATCCCTCGTGCAGCTTTGCCTCTCTGCCCCTCGTCACCATTCATTTCCAGATGTCCTGGTTCTCGGTCCGTGTTTGGATCGGGAATGGACTGCTGCCCACGCGGAAATACGGGTTTGGGGCGTTAGGAGGGGAGCGATCTTGACAGGAACTGGGGCGGCGGAGGGGGCGCTTCCGCCCTTCATCCTCACAATCACTCCCTGCAGCTCCGATTCTGCCAGGTTCGAGGAGAGCCCGGTTCGTTGACTGAAAACGTCAGAGTCACCGAATTCATACCGGGAGTGTTTGCCTTCGGTGGCGGAAACTGTGCACGTGGAAATGTTGGGGGGCAATTTTCAGCAGATTTTGATTTTGAATTTTCTTCCGTTAGTGGCACACCTGCGGCCGTACACATACATTGTCACCCTTACATATGCAAAGACAGTTTCTGCTCATGTGGAGTGTTCAGATCAGTGGAGTTTCAGATTTTTAAATAGACTTTTTTTAATCATGAGTTGGAAACGGTGTCACCACGTAATTTTTCTATAAATGCAGATGTTATATTTTTATCTCCTGTCTGCCAAATATGCTTACAAACACATGCAAATTGCACTTGTACGAGTGACGTTGAGATTTGGGCTCTTAAATTACAAATGAACACTGGATTAAAAGTGTCCAGTCGTTTATTGACAATAAGCCCTCTTTATAGCTGCTGCTTAAAACTACGATATAAATCTCATCTCGCTGGGTTTTGTGTTTTGAGGTGTAGATGGTCACTGTAGGTGACAGCTGATGACATGAACAGGCTAGGAACAAAAACTGGTAAAGTTTTTACCACTGTAGCCCGTGGCTCTGCCTTCTCGGTCCACATAGAAATCATAGCATCACCTTGCATTTTTAAACAGCTCTTTACACGTATGCAGGTTCACAAGGCTCCCATAGTCCATGTAACAGTCCTTAATCATCCCGGTTCGTTGACCGAAAACGTTAGAGTCACAAATCATTAGACAGGTCACCACGTGCCAGGCACGGCCACACGCCAGCTACACACAGGTGAGGACAGCAGACTTAGAACCCAGCCCTGCCTGTCATCACCCTCTGTGAGCCGGGGGTCCCACAGAGCCCGGTAGAGCCCCTCCCTCCAGCAACTCAAAGCCTGTTGGGGGGACAAGACAGGAAACCCTGCTCCAGGTTGGGCGTCCGGCCATTGGACGATAGCACGTGATTGGCGGGAGTCCCAAGTTCAAGCCGCTTCAACCTCCCACTCATCTGTAAAGCGGGAGCACAGGGCAGCTGGGAGGTTGAAGAAGGTAACGTGTTGGGGTGCTTCACCCACAGAGCACAGGCCAGGCTATGTCACATAGGGGCTTGTGCCCGGCTCGGGCTGTGGCTGGGTCCAGGTCTAGCCAGCCGCTGCCGTGGAAGGTTGTGGACAAATCTCCTGGTTTCTCAAGACATGCAAATATCTAGATTTTCATGTGAAATTTCCTGGATTTTAAATATGGACAGGTAATCCAAAAAAATTTTAAACACAGTCTGAGTCTAACATTATATCTGCAAGTCAGAGTGCTCCATCTCCAGCCTAGACAAACACGAGAAAGCGGTCACGGCAGCTGCCACCTCTCCAACGCCTGCAGTGGCGTCCGGGCACCTTCTGTTCGTTCCTCCAGGGGTGTGGACATCTAGTGAGTCGAAACCATTTGCTCAAAAGCCACCCCATCGCTGCAAGGTGGGGCTCAGGCCCAAACCTCGTTAGCTCTGCGGCTGTGACGCCTGGCCACTCCCACTGCCCCGCGATGAGGTGCAGCTGCTCCCCTGGAGGTGGGGGGCTGCTCCCAGGAGGGCAGTCAGGACACCGTGGTGGCAGGAACAGCATGCACGGTCGGGTGAGGCCACAAGGCCCGGTCCTGCTGGGAACGTCCGTGGCAGGGGTGACAGGTAGCATCGGCAGGAGGGTGCCCACCTGGAGGGCCCCTCTGCCTGTGGCAGCGCGAGCCTGGAGGTTCGTGAGCAGCAGGTGACCTGAGCAGAACCGTGGGAGGGTCGCGGTGGCACCACCCTGGGAAACGGTGGGTGGGGGGCTGAGGCTCGGAAGCTGATGGGTAAATCACGGTCCCTTCACTTTACACCTGAGGAGACAGGTTTAGAAAAACGGAGCAGCTCACACACGTCTCGTCTCACAGCGGAGTGACGGGCCCTGCAGTTCCTGCCTAGCCCTGTCCCTGGGGACATGTCGGCCTTGTAAAGCATGATCCCGTTTTTTCTTCCCCCCCTCCACACGTGCCACTCACTCTGGGTGTGGGGCGGGGACCCCAGCCGAGGCTGGGGACTCAGCGGAAGCTGCTCAGGTTATGCAAAGTCACCTCCTTTCACAATGAGCATCCGGGGCCCAATGGGGACACTACTGATCTCGCCGGGGGCAGCGGAGCCTCCAAGGCTAGGCTGGGGTGTGGGAGGACCCTGTCCTCCATCCACAGGCCCTGGTGGCAGCAGCTCGGGGCAGGCAGATCAGAGCGGGCCCTCTGCCAGAGATGGCAGGGATTCAGCACCAGGCCTGGGCCCTGCCGATAACCGCCCTGCTTGTCTGCCCACTCACCGGCCCTCACAGCCCCTGCTCCAGGACTCAGACCCCTGCGTGGGGCCCTGTCCACCTTCGAGGGGCCTTGACCAGTTCTGCCACTGAGACCATTAGCTCTGACCCCATTCATCCAGCAAACATTTATTGAGCGTTCATCGGGTGGGTACTGTTTGTTGCAAGCAGCAGCTGACGAGTAAGAAAATGCACTCCTTGGAGTCTTCTTATGTTTGAAGCTCAGCTTTGCCATTCACCAGCTGTGGGATATTAGAGAAGTTGCTTAACCCCACTGAGCAGCTCTTGACGGAAGTAGGAGTGGCTCCCTCGTGGGATGTGATGATCAAGAAGATAACTCTGTGCATAGTCTGGGCTTCCCCCACTGCCCCCTACCCACAAAAAGAGAAGAACTCGGACACCCCTGGATGTGTGGAAAACTCAAAACATGTGGGGAATTGGGGGGGCGGGGCGCACAAGGAAGCACGGCCGTGGCTTCGGGTGTGCTTTTGTTTCAGAAACAGCGCCTGTGCCTGTGACCTCGTGACCCAGAGTGGTGCCTGACCTTCTCCCCATCCCTTCCTGGCCTCTCCTCCTCTTCCCCAGCCCCCAGACCTACCCCTTTCCAAACTAATCCCCATCTTCTCCCGCAGGGGGCTGGGTTTTCGGGATTCCTGTGGGACACCTCCACCGGGGTGGAGCTGAGAGACGCCGCCTCACTGGACAGGTCACCTGGCAACGGGCATGGGAAGCCCACAGGTCCCAGCCCGTACCTCGCACGATTCAAGGTACCCATTCAAGTCGCCGTGAAGGTCTACTTCTAAAAAGAAAAGTCCCTTTTTAAGCCGTGAGCCAGAGAAGCCTCGCCTGTTTGCCCTGGTTTTACTCACTCCTGGGGTCCCCTTGGCTGGTGAACTTGCCCAGGGCAGGAATGAGAGGGATCGGAGGGGACCCAGGCTCTGTCTGGGCGAGAAGGAGATCGATCTGGCTGTCTCCCAGACTGACACACATCGAAGCGACCTGGGGGAGATGTTCTTAAAACCAGGGGCTCCCTGCAGGACTTCTGAGACAGGGCCCCGGACAGTTAAGTGCTCCTTCAGCTGTCCTGGTTAGTGAGGCTAGGCGTTTGGGAGTCGCTGGACGAGAAGGCACCAGGATTGAGGACCCTTCTCTTGTCAGGGAGAAGAGGGACCCTCAAGGGGTCACTTGGGTTTGAAGGGGTTCAGGAGGGGCCTCTGGGCTGAGGGGCCAGGATAGCCCATAACTGACATCTGCAGGTGAGCTGTCACCCACGTGTGGGTCTGTGTCTCACCAGAGTCGGGAGCAGCGAGCAGACTGAGCCGATTGTCTCGCCTGTCCCCAGGGTCAGGTTCATGAGCAGACAGTCAGACATTGGGCAGCAGGAGGGAGGAGAGGCCAGTGGCCAGAGCAGATCACCAAGTCAGCAATCAATTGGCCTTATCCCTGTGGCACGACCCTGTGAAGTCACGGGGTTGGACAAGAGTGGTCCCTTGCCACAGAGCCTAGCCAGCCGCCTGCCAGGCATGTGGGACACCCCTCTGCCCCACCTGTGTGCTCCAGAGCTGTCATGGAGCCTGAGAGTTGCCCTAACCCCAGCACTGGGCTGGGCCCTGGATGCACTAAGTGGGGGCCACATCGGCTCTGGCTGGGATCCTGTCCCAGCTCATGTCCCTCACACCTGTAGCTGCAGAGCTGCTGGGATTCTGTGAGCACACACACACCTGGGGCTTGCACTTGTGTGACTGATGTGTAAGCCACCCAGATGTCATCTTTAAACCCTCCTAACAGGGTCCCCTCTTTATATAAAATGCTGTCCTGGCTTTGGCCACACAGGGCAACAGTCGGGACCAGCCAGTGTCTCTACAAGGCAGGCTGTTTTTAATGGCCAATGAGAAAGTGCTCTTGTGTCACGAATGATGCCCCAAATCCTCTAAATAAAGCAGTCCCCTAGACAGGCCCTCGGCCTCTTCATGTCACACCCACGGCCAGGCAGATGGTACAGGACAGAGATGCGTCTTCTCTGCCTGTAGTCAGAGCTGTGGCTGCGGCTCTGCGGGCTGGGTGGTGGCGGTAGTGAGCTGGGGTCACATCTGTAAGACAGAACTGGCCGCCACCACTTCCTGGGAGCTCCCCCTGCACGCCCTCCCCTCCCAGCAGAGTGTTTAGTGGGTGTTGTCGTGACAAACAGAAGGCAGGATTGCCAAACCCCGAGCAGCTGAGCAATGCTGGGTGCTCAGGGACCAACTCCGTCTTCCTGTTTCTGCGCCTGCACCCACGGCCCCCACCTGGGGATGCAGGACTGGGGCAGAGCCTGTGCCGCCAGCATCCGTCTGGCTCTCGTTCTTGACATGTTTGAAATCAGGTAAAAGTGAACGTGAGGGCCCAGCGGTCTCCACAGAGAAAAGAACACATAGGTTGTGGGGGGCAGGGAAGGAGGCAGATCCCCACAGCCTCAGCCTCGCAGGGGGATGCTGGCCCTGCAGGTGAGGGATCCAGGCCTTTGTTGACAACCAGCTGCTAGAGCCTCCTCCTCCTCCTCCTCCTTTACAGTTGCTTGGGAGGAAAAAAAAAAAACCCTGTTATTTTCAGATGTGCTCAGATTTCCAGGCCATAAGGAGGAGTGGGGGTGCCATGTGGGAGGCTTAGACTAATAGAACAAGAAAGGGGACAAATCTTACGGCCGCCCACCGTGCATTGTCCCCTGGGTGGGTGGGAGCCGGCCTCGTTTGTGTTTATTTTGTCAACATGGAGCATGAAGCTCTTCATTGGTCCTAATCCGTTAGGAAACAGGAGCATCTTAAGTCCGTCCCTGTCGCTTTGTTTCCTCTTGTGGACCAGGTCGGAAGTACTGACTTGACCCTCGTGAACCTGCACCTCGCAACCCTGAGCCTCCCTGGGGGTGAGAACCCAAGCAAGAATCACGGTGACAGCCACCGTCTGGCCAGCTTCGCACAGACCTTACAGGAAACCCTGAAAGGTAGGACATTGTCTTTCCCCGTATCGGGCCAGCAGCCCCGCTCCTGCAGGGGAGGGGAGGGCGGCCTCTTCCAGGCGTCTCTCTGGTCCCTTCGGCTGGCTGTTCTGTCAACATCAACGCATAGTGAGGGTGCAGGAGATGGTCACGCCCCTGCACCTTCTGGAGCCCGGCCGCCCCTGTGCCTGCTGACATCTTTGTCTCTGTGAGCGGAGAATGCGCATTCCACAGTATCATCTTGTGGCTCTTCTTTGATGAAGAGGATTAGGGGGAAAAAAAATAATAATCAGTGACACCCTGCCCCAGGACAGCTCATCCTGGGCTTGGCTGCCTCTGTGGTGCCACCTGCAGATTTGCACGTGCTCTTCTTATGGAAGGGAGACCATTGGTGACGAGGGGAATGGGACATGCTGATTAGCAAGAAGTGGGGTTTTTCCCCCTGGCGGGGTGCAGATGGTGCTGAAGAGCCCGGAGCCCCCAGAAGGGCTGGCTTCTGTTCTTGGCTCCTTCAGCAGCTCTAGGATGTCAAACGATACACCACTTCAAGCCCCACCTGATGGGGCGCTGACAGTGCCAGCCTCACAGGGGTGCCTGGGGCTGGGTAACCGTCTGTGGAAGTACCAGGTACGTAGTAGGTGCTCGGAGGACGTGAGATGACTCAAAAAATATCAGAGAAATTAAGAGGACTTTACCAAAAAGGGCAGAGCTCCGGAAGGAAGGGAGGCTCTCTGTGTCCCAGGCCCTGCCCACGACAGCGTGGAAGGAAGGCTTTCTCTCCGTGGCTGGCCTAGCAGAAGGGAAGTCGGCACGGCCGTGAGGACGGGGTGTCTTCAGTTTGGTTCTGCTTCTCGGAGCACTGACGACCTGCTCTGGGTGAGGGCTTACAGCCTGGAATTCTCAGCCATACTTTGGAGTTTTGACCAATATTCTGTAGCTTTCTAAGCCTTTGCCTCGATAAACTGGCCCCTCACAATGGGTGATTGGTGAAGATTCAGCTCGAAAAATTGGTCAAACCACAGTCTTACATTTAACCACAACCATCCCTGCCGTATGTCTCCAGCATGTCCTCATCTTCCCAAGCTGAAACCCTGAACCGTCTCAGACACTAGCTCCCCTGCCCCCCGCCCCTCAGCTCCCGGCAGCCCCCCTTCTACTTCCTGTCTCCTCGAATCCGACTGCCCCCGGGGATCTGATGTAAGTGGGATCCTGCCGTATCTGTCCCGTGTTGGGCTGATTTCGCTTAGCCCGATGTCTTCAGGTTTGCTCTGTGCTGTAGCGCGTACCAGAATCTCCTTCTTTTTCGGGCCAGATACTATCCCGTTGTGTGTATATGTGCGTGAACCACGTTTTGCTTCTTTCCTCGGTCGATGGACACTTGGCTTGTTTTCATCTTTTGACTGCTGTGAGCGTCGATCCGCAACTTATGCTTGAACCAAGATGCGCTGTGACCAGCATTCTACTTGAGTTATGAGTCTCTCAGCTGAAAGAGGAGCAGCTATGTGGGAAGTGGTTCACCTCCTGTTAGTCTCTAGCCTGTTAAAAAGGATGACTCGATAGCTCTTAAGATCGGCGACCGTTTCCATTGTTCTCGATCTCGAGCTTTTTCTTTTCCTTACATGGAAGCAGAAGGGGAAGGTGCCAGCCCATAAATTCTCTAACCTTAGGCACTCGCTGATTTTCTCTGATATCCAGGGAGGGGTCAGGTTTTCACCAGGAAACCTGGGCAGGTTAGTGTCCCCAGTCACCAAAGGGCTCTTGACCCATAGCTTAGCCCTGCCTTGACACGTCCAGGTGTGGACAGTGACTCGTGTCGCCTGCGTCCCCCTGCTTGGAACCAGTATCTTCGCTGTTAACTGTTGACACAGCAGACCCCAGGATCCAGGAAGCGCCCGGCCTGCCCGCGGTGCAGCAGGGCAAACGGACTGGCGTAGGCGGATCAGCTGAAACAAAGCCTAAGCCTTTACTCCACGGGCTTCTGTCAGAGCGAACAGAACCGATGTGATTAGCAAACTCTGGGCCTTTCTGCCTTTGTCTGGAACATGCGTCCGGGGTGACGTCAGCGGGTGGCGTGCTAGTCCTCTCTGGTGGCACTTTCTTCTCTCAGACCCCAGGGGGCCTGCTCTGCAAGAGCGAAATGAGGCACACGGTAAAGTCTGACTTCTGCACAGGGCCATCCCTCCGTGGGGACCGGCTCCTGCTGTTGTCCCTGACATTTTATCAATCGAGGGACTCTCTAGGAAGTCAGCCCGAGCATTCTCCCTTTACTTCCGGGGACTAACGGGACGAGAAAGGAGCCCAGCCTTGGGGGAGGCCGTCTGGGGGGAGCCAGGCCTCCGCACGCCTGAGATTCTCGGAGACAGAAACTGCATCGCCAACACCGATTTGACCGAAAGCAGCTGAGTTGTAAGAATCCTGGATGTGCCTCTTCGAAAAGAGAGCTATTTATTTTCATAAATAAAAGATAAGAGAGCTGCTATTTTTATTCCTGAAAGGTTATACAGAGCTGGATGTATTGACCCAGGACAACCAGCATCTCTCCCGGTTTCAGAATTGTCTTTTCCAGCCCAAACCTCTTCAGGTCTACACCCCAGAAAATCTCTCTTATTCTAGGGAAAATTCTGTCTCTGTCTTTTATAACTTTCGGTTTTCCTTGCTGGTCAATAAATATAGCATCTTCCTCTCCCTTTAAGAATAAGCTGTGCTTGAGTTCTGTTTCTCTCGTGCCTCATTAACTCGTTAGTCCACACGTGTTTGCTGAGTGTCCACTCTGCAGTGGGCACTGGTCCAGGCACCTGGGAATCCGTGACAAAAGCCACCATGTCCTCGTGGCTCTTCCATCATAGCTCTATGTGAAGAGCCCTGGACTTGACCCCCGGCTCAGTGACTTTGCGTGGGCCGGTCAACCTCTCAGGGCCTCAGCTTCATACTTACCTGCAGAGAGGGCCTGGCACACGGTGAAGGCTCAGTGGATGGTCCTTCACACTGGCCAGGTAGGAGTTGTTAATATTATTGTCAAGGCAGCTTTCGTGTCGGGGGTTGGCAGTGATTTCTTAAGACAGCTTAGGCTCATTCTGCTTTGGGTGCCAAGGTTGTTCCCACCTAGTGCAAGGGGAACATCTGTTGGCCGCACAGTGGCCTGCAGGAAAGCTGTCCATCCCATCACACCCCCAGAGGAGGGTCCTCTGCAGTGCACGAGCGCTCTCTGCTGGTGGCTTCTGTCATTTCACTTTAGATCACGTCCCCTCTGGCCATTATTACCGAAAGATGTCATATCAAGGAAAAAGATTTGCCGAGTCTCAGCTACATCCGGCTCCGGTTTATGACCTGCTTTCCTTAAAGCTTCCTTTGCAAAGTACAACAGAGACACTGCTCCCTGTGATCACATGACTCCCTGAGGGGAACCTCACGATGCAAAGTTGTGGCCAGGCAGACAATGGACAACTTAGGCTCATTCTGCTTTGGGTGCCAAGGCTGTTCCCACCTAGTGCAAGGGGAACATCTGTTGGCCACACAGTGGCCTGCAGGAAAGCTGTCCATCCCATCACACCCCCAGAGGAGGGTCCTCTGCAGTGCACGAGCGCTCTCTGCTGGTGGCTTCTGTCATTTCACTTTAGATCACGTCCCCTCTGGCCATTATTACCGAAAGATGTCATATCAAGGAAAAAGATTTGCCGAGTCTCAGCTACATCCGGCTCCGGTTTATGACCTGCTTTCCTTAAAGCTTCCTTTGCAAAGTACAACAGAGACACTGCTCCCTGTGATCACATGACTCCCTGAGGGGAACCTCACGATGCAAAGTTGTGGCCAGGCAGTCAATGGGAATTCGTTAGAGCCTGGCTGGGGTCCGCTGCCCTTCCATAACGATCCCGCTTACTCCAGTGTAAATCGGACCATGGGGGAAATGTTGAAAATACTTTAAAGAGAAAAGCTTTCCACGTTGGCCCTGTATTAGTCAGCTAGAGCTGCCATAACAAAATGCCAGAGTGGGTGGCTTACACAACAGAAATGTGTTGCCTCACAGTTCTGGGGCCTGGAGTCCAAGATCAAGGTGTCAGCACAGTCGGCTTCCTCTGCGGCCTCTCTCCTGGGCTTGTAGATGGCCGCCTCCTTCCTGTGTCTTTTCACGGTCTTTCTTCTGTGCTCAATAAGGGTTTGCTGAGCTTTTGTTCCATTTCGGGACAAGACTCCTAGGCCTTCGTGAGCGGGAACGGGTGCTATGAGCATCACACCACCCTTCACTTCCAAACATGTTACTGACCTACTCTTAAAGGTTTGGGGGCTTTCGTACAGGAATCGGGAAAAATCGGAAGGATGGTAACCGTGCTGCAGCTCTCACTCTGGGGAGTCACATCGGAGACACACGAGCCCCTTAAACGGGCTGTGGTCGGCGCTGGCCGTGCTTCCCAGCGCTTCCTCCCTCCCTGACTTCCTTTCTTCTGCTTCCAGGAGAAAAAGACGTGATTGTTTTAGGGGATTTTGGCCAGGGGCCAGACAGCAGTGACCACGACATCCTGAGGAAAGAAAAATTCCATCCCCTGATTCCCGCCCATACCTTCACCAACATCAGCACCAAGAACCCACAAGGCTCTAAGTCTCTGGACAACGTGTGGATCAGTAAAAGCTTAAAGAAGGTTTTCACAGGTAAAGCGGAAACCACTGGTTTTCCCTGTCTGGACTGACGGTTCCGGGTTGTGGGGGTCATGTGGGAGTCGGGAGTCAGCGTACGTCCCCTGCGGTCATTTACGGGGTTATCCTGTGTAAACATCATTCAGACCGAGCCACTTTTCAGAATGAAGGTGGGTGTGACAAATAATTACAAGGCATCCACCGGTCTGCAGCAAGGGGACACCAAGCGTGTCCCGGGCAGACCCGGTTATGGGCCGGCAGAGACCGTATTCGCAGTAAGGTGATGACGCCCCCTGGTATTAGGACACGTGGTCATTCAGCACGCGTTCCTCGAGCCGTCACGTTGAGATGCTCTGTCGTGGCCTGAGGTTTACCGACACGCGACAATGCTCTAAGGAGCAGCGTTGCAGGTGAGCAGACATGTCACATAGTGTCACTGTAGGGTGGGAGAAATACTTCAGACAGGACCCCACAGGGACCAGGGTGTGTGTCATGGGTAACCTCACTGCTGAAAAGCAGCCCCTCCCCCGCAAAAAATCCCAGTAACCTGCTGAGATTACTGTTTGGGGTCAGAAAACAAATATGGAGGTAACAGTAGGGCGTTTCGCCGAAAGGCAAGAACAGTGGTTCCCAGTCCCGTTTGGGGTTTGGTAAACACCAACGGCTGCATGTTACACCCTGCGAGACATTTCCACATTTAAAGGCGCCAGCTCTGGGGGCCCGCTGTGGGACTCACATGCGGCCAGGCCTGAGGGCCGCAGGGCTAGGATTTCCAGTCCCGGACACTGGTTTCCTGTGGACTGTGCCGTGGGAGGATCCGAAGGATGAAGGACGTGGTCTCGGGGGGTGACAATCATGAAACTAGGCGAGATCCCGATGGGAGAAGTGCATGGCAGGCCAGACTGAGGCTGTCAGCCTGCCCAGGCCACCAGGAGGGGTGGGCAAAGGCAGCTTCTCAGCAAGACAGCCTGCGAGCCTGAGGATGCAGGGCCGGAAGGAAGTTACAAATCACTCCACCTGCCCCGGGCTGTTCCGTGGGAGAAGTGAGTGCAGGGAGAGGTCCCAGAGCCGGGAACTGTCCCCTGGGCAGGCCACAGCTCCAGCCAGAGCCAGGCCTCTGCACTTGCACTGACGGACGTGGCCACAGCAGCGCTTTCTAAGTGCCCTGTGCTGGCTTTGTAACTATCTCGTTGTTTTCCAGATGTACTTCCCGCTTCGTATATTTCTAAATCTTTATTGTTTTAAACACCATTACTTTCTCATACACCTCTATAATTTTCCCTTTTTTACCCTTTTCCTGGACCTTATCCCCCACACCCCCATGACCACCACCCTTATTGTCATTGCTTTGTAAACTAGGACCTTCGCCTTGGACATGTTTGTGAGGCTTGTGTCCCTGTGTCAGATGCTTCCTCTGGCTGGTCAGGTGAGGGGGCGGCTAGCAAGGAGGTCAGCCAGAGGCCGACGGGTGTGTGAAGCGGGGCACAGCCTGCACCGGGTGGTTGCGGTGCCCAAATGGTAAACCCTCACCTGCCCAGGGGATCAGCTTGGCCGACCCATCGCACGGGCACGGCAAGCCAGGCCGCTGAGGCGTGGGGTCCGGGCACCCCGCCCGGCCATGCGCGGCGTGGGCCCCGCCCAGCCCCCCGCCCTGATTTCTGGGTCTCCTCTCCCTTCCCTTCAGGTCACTGCGCCGTGGTGCGGGAAGGCCTCACGAACCCCTGGATTCCAGATAACTGGTCCTGGGGCGGGGTGGCGTCGGAGCACTGCCCCGTGCTGGCCGAGTTTTACGCGGAGAAGGACTGCGCCAAGAGGGACGGCCCTCGGAGCGGCGGCGGGGTGGCCGTGGAGCGGGGGGACGCCGGCGTCAAGCACGAGCGGTGACGGCCCCCGGGGCCCCGCAGCGCTC